TTCCAGTTTAATAGGTGCCTCTTCTGAAAATGCCATGTCGTTTGTTTGAGGACGCAGACCCTCCATAGTCGTTAATAGCATCTCTAATGACACTGAATTACCTTCATGTTCAAGAATATATTTGAGAGCGTAAAGATTTTCTGGGAGATTTATTTTTACAAGCAATATTTCTATTTGCGCATCTACGGTGGTATGTCCTTGTTCAATCAGCTTGCGTATAAGTTTAGGGAAGCTGTCTGAGTTTACAGTGCTGTTCAGCGTTAATGCATAGTTGGTGGAGGTTGAGTTTTCGGTTTCCTATGATATAATGCAACGGTTAACACTTACGATAGAGTAAATGCAATGTACGATAAGTGTTTTTGTTCTATACCATTGCAAGAAGACTTCGTATAACTTAACAAAGGATAGCGGGCGGATAAAGTGCTATTTATTCCTATTGGTTAAAATGTTGTATCGCCTGCATTGTGTGACAAATGCCTCCTGCCGTTCTGGGAATACAAGTTTTGACTTTATTGCGGCCAAAGTAAGAGTTCAAATTATATTATCTAATTTTGTTGTAAGTTGCAAAATGCAAATATCTATATTCCATAATGCTTGCATTTGATGGTAGTCTTGCCAAAAAGACAAATAAACCGATAGAATAAAGTTGTCTTTCGGAGCAGCAAGCAATTTAACTGAATGGTACCAATTCTTGTTTATACAATGTTTGTTTTACGCATTTTCCTTTAGAAAGAACGTGTAGATTCGGCCCTCATAGTTTGAGCAGCGAATATTCATATATGCAAATCAGTATTTCTGGCTAACGAATGTTATAGTAATCTCCCAGCACAATTAATTACGATTATGTGCGAATAGCTAGGTTAAATGGAGAACACTTAATTCAATTTTGACAAGAATTAATTTTTGCGAAATCACAAAGAGCAGGCGGGCAAAAATTGAAATTTTATTACGATTTATTTTCGCTATTTTTTGACTTCAAACTTTTTGCGGGTTCTCAATTTATTACTCAGATACATCGGACGCTAACCCTGTAACGTATACTATATTAATATAATTGAGTAACAATTGAGTAGGTCATCGAGTTTTTCTGTGCTGTTTATTATGATGCAACAGAGTAGAAACTCAATTAATTAAGTCGGCGAAGGAACTTATTATTCGGTAACGTGTCAGTAATATTTAACTTCTCTAATAAGTGTTTAACACAAGTACGGATACACCAGCGATTATGACCGATTATAAACCGATTATGAAACAATGTTACTGATTATGTCTTTCTTTTATAAAAAGATAAAAAGTCTCTCGCATATTTTTTGCACTACTGTTGGGAAAGTCTTGAGAATTTATAGGAAGTGGGGTGTGTTAGTGATTCTTTCAGTGGGGTGTGTTAGTGATCCTTTCAGTGGTCTTAGCGGAAGAAGAAAGTTGCTTGATGCAGATGACATGAGGTATGCAATTTTGATCTTTGCTAATTCAATCGAGTATTAATGAGTGTCTGTCAAAAGTATGAATGTTTATATATTAGTTAAAACACCACAAGAAAGCGAACGACCACCCCAACATT